CAAATGTCCATCAACTGAGGAATGCATAAATAAATGCAGTACATCCATACAATGGAAGATTATTGGGCAATAAAAAGAATGAAGTACTGATACACGTAACAACGTGGATGAACCTTGAAAACATTATGCTGCGTGAAAAAAGCCAGTCAACAAAAGACCACATATTTTATGATTACATTTATATGACATGTCCAGAATAGGCAAAGCTATAGAGACAGAAAGTAAATTAATGGTTATCTAGGGCTGGGCATGGGAGTGGGAGACTATGGAGGGGTTGGGGGTAATGGCTAAGGAGTGCAGGATTTTTGGGGGAAATGTTGAAAATGTTCTAAAATTAGATTGTTGTGGTGGTTGCACAACTCTGTGAATATACTAAAAGCTACTGAATTGTACACTTTAAGTTAGTGAATTGTATGGTATGAGAACTATATCTCAATAAAGTTGTTTAAAAGGAAAACATTGCCTCAGTTTCTCAAAAAGTTAAACATAAATTTACTATGTGACTCATAAATTCTACTCCTTTGTTATCTACCCAAGAGAAACGAAAACATATGTCCATACACAGACTTGTATGTGAGTGTTCATAGCAACAAATGTTCATCAACTGTAAATAGATACGCAAAATGTAGTATATGCATACAGTAGGTTAATATTCAGCAACAACAAGTAACCAAGTACTAATACATGCTACACCATGGATGAACCTCAAAAACATTATGCTCAGTGAAAGAAACCAGACACAAAAGAACATATATTGTATGATTGCATTTATATGAAATTTCCAAAGAAGACAAATCTCTAGAGAAAGAAAGTAGATTAGTGGTTGCCAGGGGCTGGAGGCGGAAATGCAGAGTGACTGCAAATGAATGAGCAGGAAAGATCTTTTGGGGTGATGGAAATGTTCTAGAATTAGATTGTGGTGATGGTTGTTTAACTCTGTGTAAATATACTAAAATTCATTAAATTGTATATTTAAAATGAGTAAATTTTATGCTATGTAAATTATATATCAATAAAGCTGTTTAAAAATAGGGTTGAAGAACAGATAGAGGGATGGACAGATGAATGGATGCGTGTGATAAAGCATTTATAGTAAAATGTTCATCGTAGAGTCTAGGTCATGTAGGTCATGTATATACAGGTGTTTATTATACAATTCTTTCAATTTTGCTGGATGTTTGAAAGTTTTTACAATACAATAATGAGAGAAAAATGTTTTCAATTTCTCTGAGCTAGAGAATAAGATCCTTATAATATCACCTCACCAAGTTTAGTTTTGGCTCCTCTTCTACTTGGCAAATTTTCAAATATTTTAAAAAGCACTTCTTTAGTCTCCATAAAGTCTTATCTTTTCGTGGCTAAATGTATTTCATTAGCACAAATTACTACAACTTTTATTCATTCTGACTCTTCACCATCTGTCCGTTCCTGGCAGAACACTCCAGGTTGTCAAAATGCTGCCCAGAACCCCATGGGGATACACATTGTCCAAGGTGGCTTGACTAGTGTGGTCCTTCCTGGGTCAGGAGGTGAGTGACTGCTGGCAAAGGTGAACCTCACGGGTGTGGATGCCTCTTCCCTCAAATTGGCTCTAGAAAGAAGGATAGAAAGAACTATCCTTGGTAGCTAGAGGGAGGTAGACAGTTTCCCAAAACTTTATTTTTCTAAGTTGGAAGAGACTTGAGCATAAACAAATGTGAAAAGCATGTGAATAGAGAAATCAACTCCAATAAAGGCAAGTTACAGGGATGAGGAAGTAGTTAAGTATTTAAACAAACAAATTTATTAGAATAATATCAAAAAAAACTCAATAAATTTAAAAGGACTGGAATCATACAGAGTATGTTTCCATGTTCGTAAATTCAACAACTTAGAAGAAACAGACCAATTCCTCAAAACCACAAACTATCAAAACTCAACTAAGATGAAATAGACAACTTTAATAGTCCTATAACCATTAAAGAAATTGAATTTGTAATTCCCAGAAAGGAAATCTCTAGGCTGGCCTGGTGGTGCAAGCAGTTAAGTGCACGCACTCTGCTGTGGCAGCCTGGGGTTCACCGGTTCGGATCCCGGGTGTGCACTGACGCACTGCTTGTCCAGCCATGCTGTGGCAGCGTCCCATATAAAGTAGAGGAAGATGGGCCCAGATGTTAGCTCAGGGCCAATCTTCCTCAGCAAAAAGAGGAGGATTGGCATCAGATGTTAGCTCAGGGC